ATTCTAGGAAATTAAGTTTCCTAAACTGATGGACCTAAAATTATGGAGAATCAGTCAGAGAGTCAATCTTCTACTTTCCAACAGTGAGCACCAAGCTAAGGTTGCGAATCTAGTTCGCGTAGTTGGGTCCTCTGAATTTGTTATCATCTAACAACTTAGCAAATGCTCTGCGTGCTATTTCTGACAAATTGCACAACTAATTAGTCCACGACCTAATTATTATTTCATGTTATATATCGTACAATGGACTTTTAACTACGTTCTATTTCTATTTGTTCATCTTTGAAATTTCCCTCTATCTCAGGGATGGAGACATTATTCATGTCTCTAGAAATGTGGGAATCACATAGGTGCATGGGGCCAACTGTTTCAGTTTTATAACCCCATCACTTTTTGTAAAGGATCATGAATCCACCCATGTCTCATGAGCCTCCCCTTTGGCCTCCATTAGACAAGTGTCAGCCATTTTAGGTTAAACCTTTCTAATTGGTAAGTGTTGACCCATCATATTGGGAGCCCCAGGGTACCATGAAAGAATCTTCCATTTTTGGATAGACCCCTCGACTAGTCTATGACACACCTATTCTCCAATGAAGCAATTGAATTTGACTGTCTTAGTGAAATAGATAGCCCAATTTTATGGTTCATCTCTACTCCCCAATTCAGCCTGTTTTCATGCTAATGACAAAAGTTCTTTAGAGATGTCATCTTATGATATTCTCTATAATCTAACACTTATATCATTGATGAGGGAACAATTATTATCAGTCTCTAGGTTGATTTTAGGTCTTACCATAGTGGCTCCCACTAACTTTCATAAAGTTAGATTTAAGTGGGCCCTAAATGGGCTAAGGTTCTCACAGGGTTCCCTCCTTGGAGAGGAAACAAGAGAAGGGCCCATCAAGTGGGAAATCATTCAATGATCCATGAACATCATGACAATCATGTGCATTCAATCATGATGGGTGTAGAGAGCCACATAAAGTCTTTGCATTGGCCAAGCACTTATGGCCCATGTATGAATCACATTTACATAGCACATCACACATAATTATTGATTAAGAATCAGCTTAAATCTTGTAAAACCCAGATCCACTTGGATTAACACATTATCAACCCATTATTGGACCCATTTATCCAATAAAACTTGTCTTGGTATATGAGCCCAACTGCAAGAAGCAGTTCGACCCATATAGCCGTCCATGCTGAAATGGGTGTATCTTGCTTTAATCTAAACCTAACTAGGTTTCACAAGTGTGGGCCGAATTGGTCCATGCAATGGCCCATCAAATTCTTGGCCTAGGTCCAAAATTGATCACTTAGTCAATGATCTAAGGGGCTATTAACTGTCCCCAAAGAACCCTAGATTTGACCCATGCAAGGTGGACCAAAACTAGGTCAAATTGGCCTAGGGTTTGGTTCCCAAAACATTAATTTCAAAAGAACTATGATCTGAAAATTCTCAGGTATGATTCACAATCAAATCAACTAATTATCAACAATATAAAAGAATGAAATAACTAGGGTTGATAGTGTGGTGGTCTGAATCTAATCCAGACAAGCTGTAGGAATCCATTGGTCTTGTTCTCCATCATTCTCTATGATCTCCAACTTGTTCTCCAATGTAAACAAACTTAGAAAACTCTAATTTCTAATGCTTACATCAGAAAAAACCCCTAATACATATTGTCCAATAAAATTAAAAAAGTAATTAATTACAAACCATGAATATCAAAATTGCATGGTGTGCATTAAACATTTCATCAATCGAAAATTCGATCTCCATTACAATTTCATCCCAAGAATTCAAAAATTGACCATAGAATCATTCTAAATAATATCAGAAAATATAAAGATTAATTTTCAGATCATTGGCCCCAAATTGAGAACTAAATTCTTAGTTCCAATGTCAATTAGGTCAAATCAGCTAGACTAGTTCATGCCGATTTGATATTTCTTTCAAATCTGATTTGGTTCAGTTCAAGAATTGAACCTAGTGCTCTGATACCACTATTGGAAGGGTTAGAAATCAGGTTTCACTTGGCCAAACCAAGTTTGGTGTCTTGCTGAATTTTTAAATATTTTTCTAATCCACCTAGGAACTGATTTCCGGTGATTTTGAAATCTAAAATTTCAAGATCGATCTTGCACTGATCCGAACAAGATTTGAAACCAAAATTAAAACTGATCATACTTGATATGGAGACCACAATGTGCAGCTCCCAAAGTGGAAGTTCATGCCCAATATCAATTCCAAAATCAGCCTCCAAAACCGGTTCCCAAATTGCTTGGATCGATGTGGGTATGTGAACCTGATATCCTTTAATGTTTTTCTTGCAAAAACACAGTAGAGAATTGATGGAAACCAGTTCCTATCACAACTGGGTCGAATTAGGGTTTTTGGGAGGAAAGGGAGAAGAGAAGAGAGAGCAAGAGATTGGAGAGAACTAGTATATTTGCCCCTTTCCTCTTAATCCGTTACATAGAGCACTCTCCTAATCTAATTAGGAGCTGATCCAAATCAAATTTGGATAAAGACTTTATCTTTAATTGATAAGTATTATCTTCTTAAGAGAACGGGTACTCAAAACTTGGATCCATGCCCATTTTCAACCCAAATCACATGACGACTTAAGCTGTCTTGTGATATCTTAACTAATCATATTAATAATGGGCCTTAGGCCCATTTTCTTTAATGGTTCACGTCCCAAGGTGTTTTGCATGGCCACTTTGGGCCTGAATATTGTATGGTGTGGGAAGAAGAAGAAATAAAAGAGAAGAATGGAGGGAAAAGTATGGTTCGAATAGGAGAAAATGAATTGTCTCTCTCTAATCTGTCGACCCAAGATGTATTGTGATTTAGATCCATGTAAAATTACAAATATGCCCCTATACATAAAGGAAATATGAAGCTAGAATTAAGACCAAAGCACCCCTTACAAAATAGATTTTAACATTCCTCCTCAAGCTGGAACATATATATCATAAAGCTCTGGCTTGTTACAAATATAATTTATCCTAGTTCAACTCAAACTCTTGTTGAATAGATCAACTAGTTGGGCTTCAGACTTCACATATGGTTTAACAATATCACCACTTGTTACTTTCTCCCTCAAAAAGTGGCAATCAACCTCTATATGCTTGGTTCTCCCATGGAAGATTGGATTAGAATCAATGCTAGTGGCAGATTGATTATCACAAAACAACTTAATGGGCATGCTCACTGAAATGCCTATCTCCTGCAGGAGATGTTTCAACTAGATTAATTGACAAGTTGTATGTGCCATTGCTCTTTATTCTACTTTTTAGCACTACTTTTATCTACCACACTCTGTTTCTTACTTTTCCAAGTGATAAGGTTTCGGCATAGGAAGGTACAATAAACTATGGCAGAGCTCCTATCTATTGATGATCCTACCCAATCAGCATTTGTGTACCCTTCCAGGGTTAATTCTCCTCCTTTCTTATATAATAATCCACAACCTATAGCACCTTTTTGATACCTTAATACCCTCAAAACAACTTCCTTCAGTTGACTATTATGCTGATGCTGATTGGCTGGATGCCTTAACACCAGATGGTCCACCACTAGGTGCTGTGTTATCTTAGGTGACTCTCTCATTTCTTGGAAGTGCAAGAAGCAACAAATAGTCTCCAAGTCTCCAAGTCATCTACTAAAGCTGATATCCTGCCATGCCATTTTTTGAAGTGAGCTTGTTTGGCTAAGACTCATTTCCATGACCTAGCCACTGATCATCCAACCCCTATTCCTTTATTTTTTGACAACATGAGTGCAATCAAGATCACATTGAATCCAATCTTTTATGAACGAACTAAATACAGAAGTGAATTGCCACTTCATCAGGGATCTTCCAGCTGTGGGACACATCTCTCTTCCTCATGTATCATCCAATCTTCAGTTGGCCAATCTCTTCATGAAGTCTATGACACACTAGATATAAAAGATTGGATTACCACTTCATCAGGCATCAGTTTGAGGGGAAGTGTAGAGAAGATGGGGGGTTAATATTGTAATTTTACCTTTCTTTTATATCTCTTTTGTACACCACTTTTTTATTTCTCTTTTCTTCATTACTTTTGTACACTACTATATTTCTTGGTTCTTGTAAGGACAACATTGTCCATTTACACAATATACACATACACACACATATTTCTTTTTGGGCGTATCAGACAGATAACACACTCCACCAAATTGTTTTATTTTATGTTATTTCCATTTTAATATAACATAAAATGGAACATAAATATGACATAAAAAAGAAATTTCTCAACACAGAAATAAGTTTGTCAAATAGATTATATGATACTAGTTTAATGATCCTTAATCCTTCTAAGAATGTGCACTCATTATCATGGGAGAGAGAACCACCCAAGAACACAATGGAGGTATTACTCAATCAAATTAAAACTGGTATTTTAGAAACTTTTCTTGCATAATTATGGCTACTCGTTCCATCTAAAAGCAACATTGCCTTGGTCTGACTATTTGAACCTAGACCTATATTTGAACTGTTGAACTTGCAGAACCAAAATGGAATTCATGTTTTCATCAATGTTATTTAGATCATGATGGGAAGCTACCAGATATTAGTGCATCAGTAGCAGGAACATAACCATCCAATCTTTTTATCACATTTGAAATTCCAAAAATAATTTGGTTGTTTTATATTATATGCAATTTTTTGTCAATCCTATAATGGGGACTAATACCCTTACCCTTACATATGTGGGTTCTTCCTCTTCTACTCCACCTACTGGTGGTTCTTGTAGAAGAGTGGCTCAGCTGAACCTCTTTTAACCCTGCATCTGTCCTAGAAACTCATTATTATGGACCGTATGATGCTTACCATATCTGCTGCAGAAAATTTAAGCATTGTTATAATGTAATACCTTTTGTGCTTCATTCAGCATTCATTTTTCAAGCAATTTTATGGTTCTGTGAGCCAATCAGATTACATCACACTGCGACTGGGTTTCATTGATGTAAGCTATTCTCTGTGAAGCTTAAATATTATCAATTTATTTGTTTTAACATAAATAGTTACTGCCCTTATCTTCCACTATTATGTGAAATTGTTTCTGTTTTAGACTCATTGCAGGAAAAACCCAAAGTTTAATTTTCACAAATATTTGATACGCTGCCTTGAAGTAGATTTTAAGAAAGTTGTTGGTATAAGGTAACTGGTTTCTGAAGTGCATGTTAAAAGCTAAATTTCTGTCATTTTATATTTGCTAATTTGTATGTTGAATTTTAATAGTAAAGAATTTATTGTCAAACCCTTGAACCCATTTTCTATCTCTGGTTATAATCATTTCTCATTTATCTCACTGCAGATGGTATCTTTGGTTATTTGTCTTTATTTTCTTGTTGCTGAATGTACATGGTATGCTACTCTTCATGATAAATAGACCATAAAAGTGTTGATTTTTTTTTTTTTTTATTTCAGATGAAATATATTGCCAATTGTTTTTCCTCGTTAATTTGTTTCCTCTGCAGTTCCTCTGCATCTTCCATGAAGGTTAATAGTTTACTGAAATAATGTTTTTAAAAATGACTTCATTCAATTTTGTCTCACAACTCAAATAGGAAAAGAAGTTCTATAAATTTTACAATTTAATATGAAAACTAGGAAGAACATTCTTACTACCACTTTCTTTTTGTCATTGTATAAGTATGAAGTTTGTAAGAAGAGAATACAGGATCCACCATTTTTTTCCATTGATGTCTAATGTTATAATCAAGAAAGCATGATGTAATCTTGTTTGGTTCATTTTTCAAGATACATGGGTTTTATGCACTTTGAGTCTTATGTTTGGCAACCTAGATGAAATCATAGGTTCTAAGGTGTCATTTTCTTATTCATATGTGCAGGTTGGAATACATATTTTTGGTTAGCGTTCATTCCCTTTATTGTAAGTGACCATGACATAATCACCTCTTTCTAGTTTTACTATCCTATAGGATAACATGGATCTAAGCGTGTGATGCACATGCATGGTCATGAATTTTTTGCAATATACAAATATTGCACCTCATTGCAATAGTTAATTTTATATTTGCTTACATTGTTGCTGTTAAATTATGTTAGACTTTGATGTTTAAATTCTCATAGAGTCCTTGATATTGTGGCTAGAAAATTCATAGTTTGCCCTTTTTAACTAAGTAAGCCTATGTTGGAATAAGCTTCTTCTTTTGAGCTTTGTAATGGCTGTATAAAGCCATAATACTTTTAAACCCCAAAACACAAAGAACATAATTGGGGCTTTGTGCTTTAGGGATTTAAAAACACAAATTCTAAAGCTTGTGCAAATGCAAGCTAAATTTGAATGTGTGTGCGGACCCAAGTGGAGGCCTCTTTATTTGGCTTGATCATGTAGTCCACTTAAGCCTTGTAATGGCTGTCTAAGTTAGCATGTAAATCTGAACCCTGATCTTTGGAACATAAAAAGTTTACTAAGCATGGCTTAAGTGTAGTGAAATTGTTCAGTAATTTCAATGTTGTAACCTCTTGAAAATTGACTATTTTACAATTTTGACTCCATGGGTGAATCTATTTGATTATTCTACTTCTGTTAACATTGAATTTTATGTAATTTATTTTTCACATAATTGTTTATATATCAAATATTAATTAGTAAATAAATAAATTTATTAATAAATTAAGTAACAAAGTATTTAATAAATTAATTCTTCTAATTAAAAACATGGTTCAAAGTATCGATACACCTTTGTATATTGGCAGGGGTGTATCGGTGTTTTAAACCATGTGCTTTTAATTTTTTAGTTCTTTCTCAAAATTTCATTTTTATAAATATTTTATATTATTTAATAAATAAAACAAATGGGTTCTTGAAAACACCTTTAAACAGGTGGATTAGAAACCTACTGATATGGTACGAGGCATATCATATAACCTTGAATAAAAATGGAATACAAATAAATTAATTTATTAAAATATTTAATCAGATAGTTTTATTAATGTTAGTGTCGACTGTATAGGGGTAGTTTACTCCTATTTATGTTTAAGCTGATGTGTAATGTTTATGTTATGTGATGTGTCCCATACTTAAGTAGGGACAGAATATTCTTTTGTTTTATTTAGTAGAAACATATAAATATAACCTGGCCGACTAGAGAAAGTGACTTTTCTCTCTTGTTCGAACCAGTTTTCTCCTTCTCCTTTCTTTTCTTCTCTTCTTCTCTCTTCTATCTCCTCTAATCTTCCTCTAATTCTAACAAAATTCTAGTGCAGGTCTGAACTTTATCATGGTATCAGAGCCACTGTGACAAAATCAGGTCTGCCCAGAATTCTGTCATATTGCCATTCAGCCTAGGGTTTTACAATTTTCTTCATCATTCGTTGGAGATAGGGAAAAGGGCTGAAAAGGAGTGGTCGCCCTTTCCCTTTGGAGGTTTTCATGCCTCCTGTCAATGTGGTTTTTGGTGATCAAATAGGTGGGACCTATGTGTGTTTGTGGTGGTTTGTAGGAAGTCCTCTAATCGATGGTATGGAGGGGGCTGTTTCAGGTGGTGCAGTGGATAGTTGAGCGTTAGGTTGGTTTTTGGTGATCAAATAGGTGGGACATATGCGTGTTTTAGTGTGAATCGAGTGGTTGGTGAGTTGCTAGTGCTATGGTGTGTATTCAGGTAGTTGTGTGGTAGTATTGTGGTGCTGAAAGTGAAGAAATCAGCGATTGGTATTGCTGAAAATTGTGACTGTAGGTGGTTTCACTAGTGTGCAGTGTAGTGAAAAGTGATTTAGAAGTTTGATATATGAAAAAAAAGGAGAAATTTAGATATGGGAGATAGTAGTGAACACAAATCTAGTGTTATGGTTCCCATCGACTACTTAATGTTCAGATGATTTCTATCAAGTTGAATGGGGAGAATTATGTGCCTTGGGCGAAATCTGTAGAGGTCTTTCTTAGAGCTAAGAAGAACGTGAAGCATGTAAGAGAAGAAAAACTTCTTGCTGACTCTCTGGAGTATAATGACTGGGAACAAGAAGATGCACAGATTATGACCTAGTTACGGAATAGTATGGAACCCAAGATTAGAGTGAATTTTATGTTCCTAGATACAACCAAAGAGATTTGGGATCATGCCAAGAAATTCTACTCTGGACAAGACAATACTACTAGAATATATCAGCTTTATCAAGAGTACTTTAATTTACAATAGGGTAATCAAAATCTTGAGTACTATGCTTGCATGAGGAACCTTCGTAATGAGTTGAATGGTACTATCCCCTCACTTTTGATGTTTAGATTCAGCAACAATAGAGAGAACAACCAGATGTGACCAGATTTTTAGTAGGGTTGAAATCTGAATATGAACCAGTGAGAGCACAAATACTAGGAGGGTCAGCTCTTTCGTCTCTAGAAGAGGTATTTGCCCGTCTTCAAAGGATTTTTGTTGGGCCCACAGAGAATTCTAATATCTCTAATAGGTCTGCCTTTGTAGTGCCGAGAGGGGGAGGCCGTGGTGTTAGAGGTGGAGTTCGAGGAGTTCAGCCCGGTCGTAGTGGTAGTAGTGGATCCATGTATGGTCGTAGTGGTGGTGGTGGACGTGTTGGAGGTCGAGATTCAGGGGGAGCTCATGGTAGAGGATGTAGTAATGGTCTAAGGAGGTGTACACATTGTGGTATGGAAGGGCACACCATTAACTTTTGTTATGATTTGCATGGCCTACCTTCAACTTGGGAAAATCATGTAGTGGCCAGTGATGGTAGTTCAAGACAAGATATCCAACAAGATGATTAGATGCCCTCTACATCTACGGATGTCTCCGGGAAGGAGATGATGAATGTCCCACATGATGAGTATGAATGGTTTATCCAGGCCACCTCTCAATAGAATACAACTACTCTCGTACATTCAGGTATGGCTTGTCTGGCTTCCAAACCGACCTCTTGGATTATCGACTCTAGAGCTTCCGATCAATGATTGAGACTCCAACTGTGTTTTCCTCCCTTTCACAGTGCTCCACACCACATTCTGTTACCCTTGCTAAAGGTTCCACACCCTCCATTTGTGGTATTGGTAATGTTGACATAGACCCTTTATCTCTGTCCTCAGTTTTGTATGTTCCTAAATTCCCTTTTAATCTTATGTCTGTTAGTAAGCTAACCAAGTTTCTTAATTGCTCTATCACCTTTTACCCCTCTTCTTGTGTTTTTCAGGATCTCAAGGCGGGGATGAAGATTGGTGGAGGGCATGAAGTTGGTGGACTGTATTATCTTGAGGGTGATGGTGGTTCATCAATAGCTCTTCAGACATGTTTTTCTCCTCTTCAGTGGCATTATAGACTTGGTCATCCATTGCTCAAAGCATTAAAGTCACTTATCCCGTTGTTGAGCCGTCTTTTTGTTTTGGATTATGAGTGTCAATTGGGGAAATATCATTGTGTTCCCTTTAGTCCTAAGGTTGATAATCGTATGTTGGGTCCTTTTTCTTTAGTTCGTTCAGATATTTGAGGTCCAAATAAAATAGTGTCATACAATGGTTATAATTACTTTGTTATTTTTGTTGATGATTATTGAAGGATGACGTGGTTTTACCTAATGAAAGAAAGGAGTGAATTCTTTTCCATTTTCTAAAAATTTTATGCTGAAATTTGCAACCAATTTGGTGTACACATTAAGATTCTTCGTTTTGATAATGGCCAAAAATACTTTTATACACCGTTTTAGGAGTATTTGGAACAACATGGCATTATCCATCAAACTTCATGTACTTACACCCCACAATAAAATGTGGTAGATGAGAGAAAGAACCTTCATCTTTTGGAAACTGTTCGGTCTCTTATGCACCATATAAATGTACCCAAAACTTTTTGGAGTGATGTTGTGCTTTTATCTTGTTTCCTAATTAACCAGATGCCCATGCCCATCTTTAAAGGTCATTCTCCTTTCACCACTTAGTTTCTTACCTTGTCTCCGTTTCCTCTTACTCCCAAGGTTTTCGGGTGTGTATGTTTTGTTCATAATCTTGGACCTAGAATGGACAAATTAGATGCATGATCCATTAAGTGTATATTCCTTGGCTATTTCCAGATCCAGAAAGGGTATAAGTGTTATAACCCTAGTTCTCGACGTTCCTTTGTCCTGATGTTACTTTCTTTGAGTCTACTCTATTTTTCTTTGGGTCAAATGACGTCCCTTCTTCTTCCTCACCTCCTCCTCCTCTTCCAGTTCTCGTTGAGGACCCTATTCCACTTGTTCCAGTTGTGACTAAGTCTTTGCCTCCGGTGTAGCTTCCTGTTGAATGGCCACCCATCCGTCGAGTGTATACGCATCGACGACATGTGCCAGCTCCTCCTCCAGTTTCATCACCGTTGACAGATCCGACAATTGTTCCCACACCAGCCACACCCCCTGTTCCTGACCTTGATCATCCTATCACCTTGTGGAAGGTAAACACAATTGTACACTTCATCCCATTTCAAATTATGTTTTTGTCTCTCACCGTTTTGCTTTCCATCACCAGTTTGTTTCTCTATTGTCTTCTATTTCTATTCCTACGGATGTCTAGGAAGCCCTTGCCTCTCCAGGGTTGTGCCATGCAATGGAAGAACTTTCTGCTTTAGCTCATAATCATATATGGGATCTCATCACTCTCCCTCCTGGTAAGCGTGTTGTAGGTTGTAAGTCAATATACACTGTTAAGTATTTACTTGATGGTAGTATAGAGCAGTTGAAAGCTAGATTGGTTGCCAAAGGATATTCCCAAACATATGGTATTGACTACACGGAAACCTTCTCTCCTATTGCTAAAATTGGTTCAGATCGTGTTATGATATTTCTAGCGGCTATGTATGATTGGCCTCTATTTCAGCTTGACATCATGAATGCTTTTTTAAATGATGATCTCCTTGAGGAGGTCTGTGTGGAGCAACCACCGGGGTTTGTTGC